GCAGCTGGTTTTGGTTGTCAGCAGCAAACTGGTTGATCCACTCTGAGAAGGTGCTATTTAAGAGACTGAGCTGAATACAGCACCTCAGACTGAGGAAGTCTTTCGAATGAAAGACGAAACGTATCTAGATTTTTTTTTGCTTTGTTTTGTTTTTTGGTTTTTTTGGAATGTCCAGAGGACCAGATTGAACTTTTTTAGACCACTGACAATGTTGGAGGAAAACCAGGCTGCAGCTCATGCAAGTTGCTGATTGGTCATTTGCTGACAAGCCTGCTGGATTGATGACAGATGGTGTAGGGCTAGGTGATATATCAAATATACTTGATTTATCGAGAGTTTTTCACTTTACATAGGTTAAAATGGCTTTATCGCAACCATCGAGTAGATGGTTCAAGACTTGAAAATCCGTGTAGTTCTTTTTCTCCCCTCTGCACCCCCAACTTCACAGGACCCCTCCTTCTCCCTCACTGAATACTAACACAGCCTCTCACCTGCACACGCTCCCCCTGCTTTCTGCTTCTCCAGGTGGGGGGAGTTTAACACAAGTAAACAGAGGAGAGGATATCGAAGAGCAGCTTAGCTGCTGAGCAAAAAGAAACGCAATGGCTGATATTTGGAGATGGTTTGGATTTACATTGTTAGATGAGCAGCAGAAAAATATTTTCTGTATACAATGCCGAAAACAAGTCCCGACAAAAGGTTAGCACTATGACTCTTTTCACCATTTAAAACCGCTATAAGTGGAGTATGAAGCGTGTAGCTGCAGCCGCAACTCGGGTAAAGCAGCAGCTTATCATATCGTTAAAGCCACATTCCCAGTCTCAACTGTGGAACAAGACCGCTAAAGTTAGCCATCTTGTTAGCCGCTAAGGACCGTGTCTTTAGCGATATGATAAGCCACTGCTATATACAAATCCTCTGTGTGTATATATATATATATATATATATATATATATAGAGAGAGAGAGAGAGAGAGAGAGAGAGAGAGAGAGAGAGAGAGAGAAAGAGAGAGAAAGAAAGAAAGAAAGAAAGAAAGAAAGAAAGAAAGAAAGAGAAAAAGAAAGAAAGAAAGAAACACCAGTATCTTCACCAACTTTTATAGGTGCACCCTTGAGAGCCTGGTGACAGGCTGCATCACAGGGTGGTACATGAATTGCACAAGTCAGAGCCAGAAAGCTCTACAGAGGGTGGCACAAACAGCAGAGGACATCAATGGTAGCAGTCTCCACACCATCTAGAACATCTATTTGTTGAGATTTGTTGGCCTCCCCAACAAATCTCTCCAGAAGCTACAATTGGTCCAGAACTCAGCTGCCCGTGTCATCACTCAAACCTCCTCCTATAACCACATCACTCCAGTCCTGCAGCAGCTCCACTGGCTCTCGGTTAAATCACGCATAGTCTTCAAAATTCTTCTTCTCACTTTCTAAGCTATCCACAACCTTGCCCCTCCGTACATATCTGACCTTCTACACATCTCCATCCCCTCTCGCTCTCTCAGATCCTCCTCTTCACTACACCTCCATGTACCCTCTGCCCGCCTCTCCACCATGGGGAGAAGGGCCTTCACCTGCTCTGCCCCTCATCTCTGGAACTCTCTACCGCCTGACTTAAGAAACACCACCTCTCTTTCTCTGTTCAAGACTGCTCTGAAAACACGTCTCTTTAGACTCGCTTATCCTTAACTTTGCTGTATGTATTTTATATTCTTTACGCATTTTATATTCTGTATGTATTTTATATTCTTTATTCCTGTTGATCTTTGTTCTTACTGTAAAGTGTCCTTGGGTGTCATGAAAGGCGCTTTTTAAATAAAATGATTATTATTATTATTATATCTACCACAGACGATGTCTGCATAAAGCACGCAGCATCATTAAGGACCACATCCACCCAGCACAAGGATTCTTCCATCTATTACCCTCAGGCAGAAGATACAATAAGCCTGTCATTGCATACAAAAAGACTAAAGGACAGTTATTATCCACAAGCTGTCAGTTTACTGAACTCTTAATAAATAACACTGAACAACTGGCAATAACTAACTAATAATTCAACCTCAATGTTATTACCTGTGCAATAACCTGTCACACAACCTGTGTAGTATATGTTGATTTTGTGCGGTATATATATATATATATATATATATATGTACAGGTCCTTCTAAAAAAATTAGCATATTGTGATAAAGGTCATTATTTTCCATAATGTAATGATAAAAATGAAACTTTCATATATTTCAGATTCATTGCACACCAACTGAAATATTTCAGGTCTTTAATTGTTTTAATACCTATGATTATGGCATACAGCTCATGAAAACCCAAAATGCCTGTCCCAAAAAATTAGCATATCATGAAAAGGTTCTCTAAACAAGCTATTAACCTAACCATCTGAATCAACAACGTAACTCTAAACACCTGCAAAAGATTCCTGAGGCTTTAAAAACTCCCAGCCTTGTTCATTACTCAA